GCGAAACCCGTAGGGATGCCACTGTTTGAAAAAATACAAATTTGTGTACATCAGAAAATGCGCCTTGAGGCATGGAACATATGTACCAAATATGCCAAAGATGTCTACAAAATTATCTCAGTTATTATTAAAAAACTGATTATTTTTGAAAACTTTGCCACCCTCTATCTCAAAAGTTAAGGCGTTTAGGACATACGTCCATAGGAAGTTTTTTTCTTAAAATGGGTCTAAGAATTACCTCCTTGAATATTAGCATGTGTTTAAGGAACACCCTGTATATTAGATTGGAAGACGTTTTTTCGTAATCAAATACTATTTTGACCGGAATTATATCGGGCGTGAAGACATCTTTTAGAACTACCTATACATTCAAAAAGAAAAGATTATTTGGAACATCACTCAAGAAAATTTGATGGCAAACCGCGGACGCGGTATTAATTAGTTTTAACATGGGTTTTCATAAAGTATCGGCCAGTTCTATTCAATCAATAAGAATTTATTGAAAACGCGTTATTAAATACAAATTCAATGACTACAAATATCGATTTATATGGTTTTCAGTTAAATGATATCACTGTTATTATGATTGAAAAACTCATTTGAAGTGTTGAAATTATTTTCCAGATTCAAGGATTCAAAAAATCTGTAGTTAAATGAATGAAGTGAATATTTCAATTTTTTTATTGTCTTTGCAAAACTACTTTTACATGCAGCTGGCAGAGAAAAATATTTGAAATTGATTTCTTTTACGAATATTGATGTTAGAAATAACCATTAACATTTGTTAATTCTTCAATAATTATTCATATTTCTTATTTTTTTTAAACCCGTTGTAGAACCTTATTGGAGCATTTCAATTTCAATCGTTCAATGTTATAATTCATCCTGTATATATAAAAATCTCATCTGACAGGAGAAAGTTGTTGAAGATGAAACGTCAAAGAAAGAGATTAATATTGAAATTCTCTTTTGAGATTTGTTTGAATTAGGGACAATGGTAAGTTGAATAATGTTTGTTCAAATTGTTCATTTTCTTATTGACGTTCTTTTCAGGAATTTGAGTATATATATAGAGATATACATTATACATTATTATGTGTATAAAGGTGCAACGATCATGTAATGATGGTTATTAAGACACGAGCATTAACCGGGATACGAAACGAGCCGAAAGCGAGTTTTGTATGGTATATGCGGGTGTATTAATAACCTTTACATGAGAGTTGCATACGCTATTTTTTCTAAATTCGATAAATAATGAAAAACTATAAATATTATATTTGTATTGAACACATTTACAGTAATTAACTCATATTTTTTTAAAAAAACACAAACTCAATGATATTATCATGGATATATGAAAACTATAAAGATTCTAATTATATTTATATTGAATATAACAACTGTAATTTATCTGATCTTTTAAAAATATTGGAGTCGATGGTATTCCTTCTATATCGCTGTTTTCAGACATTTTGATAATATAGGTAGGTAATATGAAAACTGATTTTGACAAATGAAGCAATTAGTTACCTAGGTTAGAATCTAGGACAAACAAAGGAACAGGATTCTTGATTGAAAAATTATGGGTTTCTATTGGTTGATAATCTGTATCGTTATGAAAAATCTGTATCATAATGGATATCATTATGAAACGGATTATGGTCATATAAGTGTATTGTTAGAGTACGGGTGTAGAAAAAACTAGTTACAGTGGTTTATTGATATATACTGCAAATTGGTCTCTCAGTAACCTATTCAAACTAAGTAATCTCTCTGATGTGATGTACAATTATTGTTCAATGGAAAAAATCTTCTCAGAATTGAAGATGCAGGTCAATTACGTATGAAGAAGAAAAAAATTTAATCTATCTCAACTAATATTCCGAAGAGAACAGGTTTGGTCATTTACACAGAGTGAACTCAAAAAGTATTCAAAGGATTTCAAAACTTATTTCACTTATAGAAAGATACATCATCAGCGAGTAACATGGGTTATAATTCATTTGCAACAAATTTAGAGATTTCCACGAAAATTGCAGCAATGCTACCTAAAAATTCACAATTAGAAGTCAATTATTTGACTTGCACCGGAAGAGAAGCTAGTAAAATATATTCATGTTCCATTCGAAGGGTATATTTTGAATATTCATCTTTTTCAATCTTATTGTACCTACCTACCACTTGTGAACATTTTTTTGAATCAGAGTACAATCACCGTATGACACTGTCAATATTTTATGTATTTTTGAGCATTTTATTTAATTTTTCATACAAATGGAAATTCTTTGATTCATTTTTTTTTCGATAGCAGAAAATCGCCGAACCAGCCTTCGACATTTGTCCTTTCAAGATTTCTGCCTTAGCGAGACAAGCCGTCATGATCTTGAGATTCGATAGCAGGTAGGGCATCATTGCACTGTTGAAAATTGGAAGTCCAGTACATACACCAAAATAATAAAAACACTTTCCGTATATTTTCCGACAGACAAATTCATTCATCAAAATATTATAACTGCTCTTTTATATAAACCGTTTTCAGAAAGTATGAATATACAGGTAATTTCTCCTGTCTGTCTCCGTGTGAAAATTCCAAAGATAAATTCACTTGCCTAATATATTTCATCAGAATTGTCAATAACACACTGCAACAATTTTCTTAAAAAGAAAACTGCTACAAAATAATTTAAAGTTGTTGCCAAGAAAAGTGAAAAATGGAACCTCTTCAGGATTATATATGTTCGCCAATCTACTATGAATTGAGCGTTATTAAAAACTTCGAGAATCCCCGTCTTGTTGTGATCAAACTTCAAAAACTTTTGATGTCTCTTGTGGGAAAGTTTGGTACATAACAGGCGAGAAATTTGATGCAATAAAGTGTCAAGCATTGTAAAGATGAACGGTTGTGTTAATGGCAGAACGTACTAGTGTTGACGGTAAAGTTGAAAAAAAATATTTTTCAATTCTGAATTCACTGACCCGTTAGTTGGTAGAAATCAATATGACCATTTATAATTATAATTACAAATTTCAATAATGTAGAATTTATTTCCAATACATGTTGCCCTACAACAGTAGCTTCATCATTTGGACTAGTAATTTGTAATTATATTAATGAATATTATTATTTTCAATATTTTATCGATTATCTCATTGGGCTCCTTGCTACATTCCAAAGCTTTGGAGTCAACAATATAATCATGAAAAAAGTAAAGAGATTCTCCAAATATTGTCCTTGATATTTTTAAAACATTTTGTTGTAAATGACATGAGGCATCTTTGAAAAACGTATTTTCATGGCTTGCCAGATGGTTTTTGCCTATGGCTATCCAGCTGTCTCAAAAACAGTTTCTCAAAAGTAGTTACTGAAGGCTTCTCGGCTATTAATCCTGGTGTTATCAGTAACC